TACTACTACTACTACTACTACTACTACTACTACTACTACTACTACTACTACTACTACTACTACTACTACAACTACCACTACTACTACCGCCACCACCACTACTACTACGACTACCACTACAACTGCTACGACTACGACTACTGCTACTACTACTACTACTACTACTACAACTACTACTACTGCTACTACTACTACTACTAATATTATTTCTATTGCTATTACTACTACTACTACTAGTATTACTACCACTACTACTACTACTACGACTACTACTACTACTACTACTACTACTACTACTACTACTACTACTACGACGAGTACGAGTACGAGTACGACTACTACGATGGCGGCGAAAACGGTTACAAGAACTTTTACTACTACTATTACTATTACAAGTGCTGTTACACCTCGCCGTAGTATCACTCGTACTACTACTACTACTACTACTACTACTACTACTACTACTACTACTACTACGACTACTCCGACTACTACGACTACTACTACTACTACTACTACTACTACGGCTACTACTACTACTACTACTACTACTACTATCATTTGACTCACCGATGTCATATCCTCCTCTTCATTTCCTTGTCGTCCATCGTCTCCTCCTGCAGTTGTTCCGCATCCTTTTCCGTTGCCCCTTCTTCCGCGTATTGTTCCATGAGCTTGGAAAATCGCTAACGCTGGGGGGCAAACGGTTCCTCCCATTTCCAACTAGCACAACCAGAAACAACTAATCATACTTATTTGGGGTGGCGCCTCTTGGCGACATCGCCAACATAGCTTTCGTATGCGCCGCCCTGGACACCTTGAGGCCTTGCCAATATTGACGTACGTAGCCGAAGCCGGCGACACGAAGGCCGCCGCATTCACCATTGCCTGACGACAGTGCATGTGAAGGAAGGCGAAGGGAGAGTCAGAGGAAGCTTTAGAATCAATGCGAAGCCGCGGGGCCTCGCTAGGCAACTGAATCGAACTGATCAGTCATTGAGGACGCGGGTCGCGTGGACACAGGCAATCCCAAGTGCGAGCCCAATGCGGATTTTGGATTTCCCAAGGAATCCTTTGGGAGAGCTCTCGAAACATATCGCTGGTGCGTTCCGCGCCCCTCCCCCGCAATAGTTTTCTCAGCACACTCATTAGCCATAGCCACCTGCCAAAGGACTCTGAAGGGGATCCAAAGAGAGCCTCAACGGAACCTCATGGGAATACATTGGGAATCCAAAGAGAATTTCCCTGGACCCAAGCAGATGGTTGAGGAGCGCTTCAGCAATGGAGGAACACGGACCCTACATTCAAAGATTTCGCAGTCCTCCCTGCACTCATCCACGGTCGGATCCCCAGCTCTGAGCGCCCGTCGAGGGAATATGTCGTTGGCCTTTGCGTGGGATATCGCTTAAGTCCAACCCCAGTGCCGGAAACGTTATAATTCCTTTTGACGGGGGGCATTTATTGTGTCCCAGGGTTATGGCTGCGAACCATCATTCTGCCAATTGTGTTCCTCTTCCTTCGCATCTGTATCTTGCTCCTTCTCGCCGGCCTCTGCGCTTGATTATGACAGCGTGCGAGGCCTGAAGAACGTCGACATGTTCGGCGGCAAGAGCGACCCGTATTGTATTTGCATGCTCGCAGAAGCTAAGCAGGCTAAGAAGCTCTTTCAGACTAAGGTCGTGGACAACGACCCGGACCCAGACTGGAACCACGGACCAGAACAGGTAGACCTCGGCAGCGGCCAGGGGGAACTTCTGTTCGAGATCTACGACAAAGACTTTTGCCGCAAGGGAGACAAACTCGGGGCCGCAACCGTGTCGATGGAGAGGTGCCTGCAAGGACTCTACACGGACCTGGACCTCGGGGATGGTGTCGGCACCCTGCGCGTGAAGATCGCGCCAGTGGGCCCCTCTGGTGCGCCCGTGGAGGTACGTTGGACGCCGCCCCAGGTGCGGCCGCGGCTGCAGGTGTGGGTCGACCGCGCGGAGGGCTTGCGCAGCGCGGATGCCTTTGGCGGCAAGAGCGACCCGTATGTCATCTGCTCACTGTCCGAGAAGAAGGCCTTCCGCACGCGCGTCATCCACGACGACAACGACCCAGTGTGGGACCATGGGCCCGAGGAGTTGGTCCTTGGCAGTGAGACGGAGCTCCGGTTCGAGGTCCGCGACAGGGACGTGCTCGGCAGCGATTTCCTTGGCAAGGCCGTGTTGCCGAGGGCTCAGTGCGTCTCGGGTTTCGCTGGCCGCCTGGACCTCGGCGCTGGCTGTGGCATCCTCCATGTGCGCGTGGAGCTGGCGCCGTCGGGACCAGAGCCGCCGCCCGCGAGGCTAGAGGTAACGATCCTCAGCGCCAAGGCGCTGCGCAGTGGCAGCTGGTTCATGGGCAGCAGCGACTCGTACGCTGTCTGCAAGCTCCGCGGGAAGCCCTTGTTCCAGACGAAGGCCATCTGGAGCGAGCTGAGCCCGTCGTGGGACCACGGGCCGGTGGAGGTGGCCATGAGGCATTCCGAGAGGGAGCTGCGCTTCGAGGTGTACCACAGCAGCACGCTCGGCCGCGACACCCTGCTCGGCCGCTGCAGCGTGGCGCGCGAGGCCTGCCTGGCCGGCTTCGAGGGCGACGTCGACCTCGGCAGCGGCGGCGGCTCGCTGCGGCTGCGCGTGGTGCCCGTGGCTGCCGGCACCGTCTCGGCCGCCGCCGCCGCAGCGTTGCAGGCGCAGCCCGCGCCTGCGGTTCCGCTGTCTCCGGGCACCACTGCGGCAACGGACGCCGTGTCCAATCCGACTGGGCTGAACACCCCCGGAGCCGCGGGCACCAGACCGAGGACTCGGGGGGCCCCAAACGGTGGGGTGACCACACCGCGCGGTGAGTCAGTGGGGAGTCGGGGTCACCGCACGGTTTTGGGACCCGGGTCGCTCTCCGAGCACGTTTCGGGCGGGAGGGGCCTCCGAGGTCCCGAGACCGTGCGGTGACGGACTGCGCGGTGAGGTCTTTGGGGATGTCGAGGTCGCGCGCGGTTTGTCTCCACACGGCTTTGGGATCACAAGAGGACAGCTGTATGGGTGTACGGCGCCAAGGGCCTACGAAACGCCGACCTGCTCGGCGGCAAGAGCGACCCGTACTGCGTCTGCAAAGTGGTCGAAGACCAGTTGAGCCAGCATGCCTTCCAGACTGGGGTGATCAACAACGACCCAAACCCCCAGTGGAACCACGGCCCAGAGGAGGTGTCGTGGGCTGAGCACCAGGAGCTCGTCTTCGAGGTGTTCGACAAGGACATGCTCCGCACAGGAGACAAGCTGGGCGAGGTACACCTCAACTGGAAGCAGTGCGCGCAGGGGTTGCACGAGGACCCCCTCCTCGTTTTACCTCCTCCTCTTCCTCCTCTTCCCCGCCCTGCTCCTCCTCCTCCTCTTCCTCCTCTTCCTCCTCCTCCTCCTCCTCCTCCTCCTCCTCCTCCTCTACTTCCTCCTCCGTAGCCGTTTTGGTTCAAGACTCTCCAACTTGCGGGCTGAACCCGCATAGGCATTCACGGAAGCTGTTGTCACCGTAGCAGGCAGAGTTGCTCCGCTTTGCATCCATCTTTCGCGCTGTGCTGGGCCGCCCCAGTCAGCGCCTGCCTCCCGCCGCCCGCGGGTGCGCTGACTATTCGTGTGACCTCCTTTCGGAGCCCAATGGTTCTGGGTGCTGGAGGGGCTGGGGGTAACCATGGCGGTTGGACTTACGATCCGTGGATCAAGGTCGGCCGCGGTGGCGCTAAGGCTGGCCGCGGTCCTCGTCGCGGGCGCCTTTACACGGTGTGCTCATGTGGGCATTGGACGTGGGACGACCTGCTTGCCAAGCGCAAGCGGTTCTGTGTCGGATGCAAGGACATCTGCGATCCCTACCGCCACCCCGCCCGGGACCTATTACGTGATCGGTTGCAACGGTTCGGCGATGGATTTGGCCGACGACCCGTACGGTGGCGACGGCGGTGCCAAGCCTAGCGGGCGCTGTCGCCGCCACTCGCAGGAGCAGGCCCAGCTGGAGGCCACCATCAACTTGTCGCCCGAGGCGCTGGCAGGCCTCAGGCAGGCGGCGGGGCAGTCCTCCCAGCCAGAGGCGCGGCATTTCCTGGCGCCAATCCAGCCACCCGCGCGTGCTGCTTCGCCCAGGTCGGTTCAGGCCTTTTTGGAACGAGCCACCCAGATTCGCAAGGCTGCGGCAGACCGTTTGGGCAGGGCTCTGCTCAAGCGCGCCCGCTTGGACAAGCAAGTCAAGTCACAGAGTCCAACAAACTACTTGACGATTTCATGGCGAAGGACATCGCTTCTGCGAAAGCCCCAGCGGAGGCTACTCGAGTCTGGGTTATCAAGTCGTGCGAGTCCAAGGCCAACGCCATCAACATCACATCTCTGTTCAAGGATTCGGCAGACGATCTCGCGTCGGCGAGGACATCGACCTCTCAGACCCCGCCTTCTCCGGCGCGGACCGCTCAGACTTTGATAAGTTCCAGGGCGGCCAGTCGGCCAACATCAAGAAGCTTCTTCACGAAGCTCTCACGTCGGGAAAGGCGCAAGCTGATGCGCATCAACAGGAGTATCCTAATGAGCCTCATGGGAAAGCTTCGCAAGAGGCGCACGGTTGGCAGCGGCGGCGGAAGCCCAGGCGCTCAGGCAGCGGCTCGCGCCCCCGCTGCCGGCGCCCCCGGGCCCGCTGAGCCTCGAGCGCCCGCTGCCAAGACTGACGAGAAGCTCAAGGTGGATCAGCTCCAGACAGCCATTGGCCAAGGCTAAGCAAAAGGTGGAGCAGGCCAAGAGCGAGGCCAAGGGCGAGACGCGCAGCTCCTAGCACTGCGAGTTCCCAGGGCCCCGGGGCCAAGAGGGCGCGTCGCCCTCCTGCGGGGCCCCCGCCCGAGGGCGAACCCCAACTTCCAAGTGAAATATGCAAGGCGCTCAAGCTCTTTTGCTTATTTTTTGGTGGGGTCCCACTGCGGCCAGATGGGTTGGCCACGCCGACGCAGATGTGGCGCTGTTCGTCGAACGCCGCCAGCGGGGCAGCAAGTTCGCTGGCGCGGTGAAGAAGTTGCATTAGTTCGGCTGGCGAGCCGTCGCTCGAGAGGCTCACCGCGCCAACGCAGATGACGCTTCTTCGGGGGCGATGGTGGTTGCGCGCCCCGACCTCGGCCTGACGAGTCAGATGTGTCCTGTTGGTGAATGGTCGAAGGCAAGTTTCTCCCGCTGGCTCATTGGCACTCTGCGCCTTTGGCGCGCGTCGCTTACGATATTGGCGCGAACCTGAGCGTTGCTGGCGCGCCCGCCTGTGTCGTCGACGGTTGGCAGGTCGATTCAGAGATGATTGAGGAGTTGGGCTGGCTGGAACTTCCTGGCCTCGCCCCTGTTCCGACGCCTGGGGGCTCGGTCACGCGCGCCAGAGTCTCGAGCAGCCGAATCGATTATGTCTTGTGTTCCACAGTTGTGCAGTCGGCCTGCCGTTTTGCAGGCGCCATGCCAGCGCCGCGGGGCGCGCGTGCAGCTGTAAGCTTCGACATGTTGACCGCGCCATGCGCCGCCGCGGTCTGGGGGGCCATGCGGCCGAACCCCCTTCATGTCAAGGCATTGCAGCACGGGTGGCTCCTCGGGCGCACTTTCTCGCGGAGACGCGACGCCTCAAGCGTCGCCGCCCTGCTTTCTGCTTTCTTCGAGGCGAACTTTCCTCGGGCCGTTTTGCTGCGTCTGCCCCCGGGCGTCTCTATCGCTTTGGGGAACAGTCTTTCCTGTTGGGCCCTCGCTCTCGATCTGAAGGCGTTCTCCATCCCCAGGGGGGTATATTTCACCGCGTTGGGCGTGGCCAACAACCCATGTTGCGCGAGGTGTATGTCGGCCCATCAACGTCCTCGGGTCCCAGAGGGGTTCCGGGGTGTTTGTGGGCGGTCACGAATTCGCGCGCTGGCGCGTTCGCCGGCCGCGCCCGCGCTCGGAAGCGCGGCCCGCCGCCGCGCGCCGCGCGAGTCAGCAGTGCCGCCGACAGAAGCGGCCGTGGGGCGCGCGCCCGCGCGCGGCTAAGCCCTCCTCGCAGCGCCGAGCGTCGCTGCGCGGCACTGCGCTGCGTTGCAAGAGCGGGCGCGCGTGCGAGTGCGTTGGCGCGCAGGAGTGGGCCGAGCGCGCCCGCGCGACGGACCGCGACTTCGTGCCCCAGCGAGAGATCATGCGCGTCGACAGGAGGCTGCTAGACCATGCGGAGGCGGCCTACGACCGCGGGGAGCGCTCGAAGGGCCAGGTCTGTCAAACGCGCGCGCGAGCGCCATGGCAACGCGCGTTTTGCTAGCTCGCAGGCGCAGGGCCCCGACAGGGCCGGCGCGGCCGAGAGGGGCGACGACGCCGAGCGATCACTTCGCTCGTCGCACGCGAGGGCGCTTCAGCCCCCCCCCCCGCTGCCCTCCCTTACGCAGCGTAAGCGCAGGGCTCGGCGAACACGGGCGCGGCCGGAAATGGCCATGGGACACGCGGCCCCTCGCGCGGAGGCAAGGGCGCGCAGTGGTACTACGCAGGGGAGCGCCAGCAGTGGTCCAGCCGGCACGATTGGGGCGCCGCGGGCGGCCATCGCGGCGGGGGGGGGCGCTGGGGGCCGCTCGCGCCCCCCCGGCCCGCGGAGAAGAAAGCCCGCCATTAGTGGCTCCGCGGTGACACAGCGTTCATTTGGCCAGTCGCTACAAGACCAAGTGCCGCAAGGCACGGCGACCAAGTGCGCTCGCGCATTGGTCCTCGCCGCGCCCGATCGCTGCTCGCCGCCGCGCGACGCCCCTGCCTTTTTCGCGCGCCCCCAAGAGCGCCGCGGGCAGAGAGCGCGCAACAGACGGGGGTCATCATGCGCGCCCTGCCTGCAATTCCTTCGCCGCCTGGCGGCCGACCGCGGCGGCGCTGCCCGGCGCCTCCAGCGGCTCCGTCTGCGTTGGCTGTGCCGCCTCCGCCGCCGGCGACGCGCAAGGGGTCGGGGAAGCGCCTGCCGCGCCCCCCGGGCCCGCCAGCGGCCACGAAGAAGTTTCGCACTGAAGGCGTCAAGGCGCGGGCGGGCATCGGCGACAGGCGGGCGCGCGCGCCCTTCCGGCGCCCCTGCTGGGCGGGGCTCTGCGTGGGAGCGCGATGCCATGCGCGACCGCAGCGCGGTCGGCGGTTTAGATTGCGGCGACCGTGCGCGCGTGGATTTCATCCGCAACGCAATTGACGAGGGGTCGCAAATGTTCGATAAAGACGTCTTTCTTTCTGCCGATGTCATAGAGGCGGCGCGATGGACCATTCGACGCAGCGCCGATTCCGTCATGCGCGCCCGTGAACCTATCATTCGGCGCGTCGAGGAGCGCGCCGCGGGCCTGCGACGCGCGGGGGCCATCGATCGCTGGATGGCGGCCGCATCGATCGACGTCGCGCGAGTCGCCGAACGGGTCAGCAGCCCACTTTTTCACGAAACGATCCAAGAAGCAGAGTGGGTCGATCAGGACGTCGTGGATTTCTTTCGCAAGGCAGGGGCGCGCCTAGTCTCGGACCGCGCGCGGCGGGCCCGCCGACTGGGCCGCGCAGGGCGCGCCGCTGGTTGGCGATCTGCCATTCTCGAGGGTCGGCAAGCCGGATGATGCCGGGGGCGACGTCGCTCTCCCTGACCCGCGCGAGGGCCCGTGGGCTGCGCCCGCCGAGCGCCATGACGCGCGCCGCGCCGCAGGTTGCCACCGGCAAAATATCGAGACCGCAAAGCGACTGCGGCCAGACGACGACTCTGAAGGCCTGCTGGCCATCGCCAAGACGGATGCTGGCCTCGGGCGCATGACCGACGCGATTACTATCGAAAATCGATCCCACGGCGGTGGCGCTGACGCCGCGATTCGCAGCCAGGCAGGGCGTAAAGGCAGACAGCACGGCAAAGGCGTGGCCGCCCATTCTTTCTTAATTTTGTGTCGCTGCGTGTTGTTCCGTTTTTCGCGCGCGAGGCGCGGGCAGTCGATGGCTGCACCGCGCCCCGCCTGGGCGAAGGCACGCGGGCGCATGAGAAGATGCGGCGCGACAACACGGATCATGTTTTCGAGCTTGCTGCGTTCTTTCGCAACGAGGCCGCGAGCGCTTCGCGTCGTACCTGCGCGGGCTTCGCTAGTTGCGCGCAGCAGGGGGGGGGGGGGGGGTACTTCGCCTGTGGAAGGCCGACATCGACTCAGCGTTCAGGCGCATTCCCTTCAGGCCCGAAGACTGGGATCTCGCGTGGGTGGTCTTTCCTCACCAGGGCACCTTGTACGCCGCGGCCCACAGGGCCTGCCCGTTTGGCGCAGGCGCGCGCCGCGTGCGCCACGCGGATAGTGGTCGGGCGTTGCTGCGCGGCGCAGTCT